TTTTTTTTTTTACGAAATTAGATAAGTTAGTATCAGTGGTTATATTGTGGAAATTTCCCTGCAATTTATTATTCATTTTCTAATGTCTGATTGTATATATCAGCTTTTTCAATTATAAAGAAATAAAATAAAATAAAATAATAAAAAAATACGGAAAAAATAGGTCTAGAAATCCTCGTGTATCAAATAGGCTCCACCTTTTTTTGTCATTTTCTCCACAGAGCTCCAGCCGACCTCAGCCATTTACCGGCTGCAGCTGCTGGAGCGCAGCAACCTCCCCAAGACGCTGCTTCTCTCCACAGCCGCCCTGCAGAACCGGCCCTCCATCAAGCTGCGGCTCCTGCAAACTCTTCAGCTCCTCTCCAGCTCCTCAGGTGAGGAACACATTTGACTCCGAGGAGAAATAAATCACTTCATCGTCTGCAAACAACCAAATGCTCTCAGCATCAGCCAGTTGTTTGTTTTTTTAATCGATCCCGCCGTTTGTTCAATGTTTTACAGACACAACCTGCACATCCATCTTAGGTGAAGGAGGAGCCGAGATGATCTGTCTGCACATGAACGAAGAGGACCAGTCCGGTCAGGTTCTTATCTGCTCCTCAGAGATCCTCTGGAACCTGCTGGAGAGCGGCGGCAGAAAGGAGGCCGTGGCTCAGCTCAGCAGCTTGGAATGCGTGCTGTAGGTGTTGGAATCCTTTTAAACACCCAAACACTTCTCAAATAACCTGGAGAAGAAGGACCTCTGCTGTCTTCCTCGCTCTTTATTGGAAACAGGGAGTCTCTATTACAATAAATCACACTGTAGCCCTAAAAGACTGTGTGGGGAGGAAGTAGCAGCATGATATAGTGATGCACATACATTTCTTCATGCAGACAGCAACCTTGAGTTATACACATGAAAAACATTCAGTTCCTGGTACCTGCAAAGGAACACTTTCACAAGAGTCTACTAAAGATAATAGAAAGAATAAACAAGGTTATTACTATCAAGGTTAGGTTGAGGTTTTGAGGACCCAAATGCAGAGGTGAGGAGGCAAAGGTGAGTCTTGGAGATTTAATGAAATAACTGAAGAAAAAAATGTAGAAACCGAAGTACAAGGAACCGAAAAACAGACTACTTCAGGGGAAAAGTCACGTGGGGAGCCAGGAACTGCTCAGGGAGAGTATATAAAGGAGACAGAACAAAGACTGGACTAATGAGCTGATTGGGAGCAGGTGTGAACAGAGGAGTCTAGAAAGGAACCAGGGAAAATGAGACCAACACAAGAAGGCAACAGAGGGCAGTCAGGAAATACCTAAGAACTCAAATACATCCAGAAAACACCACAAAATAGGAATTAAAAATAGAAAACCAAGAAAAATGTGGCTCAACATGAAAATGAAAACTCAAACAGAACCAAAACCGTGACTAATACAGGATAAGATGAAATAAAATAGCTCCAACTGAATTGCTGGTTTTCAGATGTCTGCAGCAGAGCGTCCTGTGAAAGCGTCTCACTGTCGTCCTGTTTGTCAGATCTCTGAAGGAAGCGTTGTCATCAGCGATGGAGATCCCATCCCAAGCTTCCGACCTCCAGCTCAGGAATCACCTGCTGGCGATCGCGACTCTCATCGCCGGAAATCCAAACTGTCCGCTCGTCGTGAGTCCGACTCCTTTGAATAACAATCAGGTTCTGGGGGGCAGATTCTTATGAAGAAGGATTAGAGCCACTGAAAAAATGGAAAAAAAGTTAACTGATTTTTAAATAATATTTCAGTTTAATATAGGAAGAAAGTCAGAATTCTGACTTT